CGTTCTGATATCTTTGAATTTCACCTTCTATATTTCTTCAACTAAGTGATGGTTCGGGCCGAAAGTTACTTCTCTTCTCTACTTTGCGTTCAGGGGGCTGCGTCTCAACTTCCTTGAGATCTAGATGAATTCTATCTGGTTGGTTGTATGTCCACCAGGCGGAATCTATGCTGCTTTGTGTACATCCTTGTGCTATTACACGCTGCCTCCGATCGCTAGATCGTTGGAAGCACAGAAGTCAGAGAATAGTTCCCCGTTCTCAACCATTTCTCTGAGAACCTCTCGACACATTATGAGTTCTCCTCCTGTGTTTTCTGCTTCCAGGCAGCCGGCGTCCATATGTTCATAAGGACTTTGATGTCGCTATTCGGAATGTCGTCAATTACTATTTGTAGTTGTCTGTAAAACAACCATCCTTCTCCTCTTGTTCCGCGTAGTTTGTAGCATGGCGTGTAGCATTGGAGAGTTTTGAACTTCCTTCTTTCCATTTGAGTTTTATCTTGCTGTCATGATCCTGCAGGATGAAATTAGTTCTCATTGTATTAGGACTTCGGCTGCCACTGGTGACATCATGGTAGCCACTTACCTCCTCAGTGTGAACGTGGTTGTCGTCTGGGTGACCAGATTGGAGTAGATAACTGAATCACCAGTTGACAATTTTGACAGTCCGCATCCTTTCCATCTGCTCTCACAGATTCTCAGAACTTACAAACCATATCTTCCCATTTCTTTGGCTACCTATGCAGCCTTTTCAGCCTCCCGTATTGTATGAACATTCCATGTCCTCATTCTTATTCTTGCTTTTGTCGAAGGGAAGAATACGCAAGGGCTGGCTGACTGGCTCCCCAAAGTCTTTCACCAGCCAGCTGTGTCATTTCGCCTCTCCACTTACTGAGAAGAATAATTTTTACTTTTTGTTTTCTAAAATATGTTTTATTTTGCGTTGGAGTTTCTGTGGCAGTGTGATATGATGTATGAGGTGAGTACACTAGCCTCACGCCCCCACTTTTACCGGGCTTGAGACCGCCTAGAAAACTGGCGAGCTAGTAAACTAGGCAAGGTTGGCGACGAACAATAACAACGTCTGAAGTGAATCAGAATTAAAAGTCATACTAGGAATAAGTGTGCAAACACGATACTAGCATTTGTTCATCACAGGAATAGACATGCGCATTAGGAGAAACGTTTGTATCATTGACTTTGTTGATCGATCTGTATAGCATTTGATTCGACAACAGCCTTTGAAAATTTTTCCACTGACTTTGATAGCAGGGATCAAAAAAGACTTGTAATTATGAGTAACCACTAAGTTTATTTAAGGCGTTTTCACTCTCTCACTCTTTTAATAACTTTCTCCGAACGCAATTCACAAGCGAAGTGTAACTATCATCATTTTGTGTATATTCTAGAGTACAAACGACTTTCGACAACAAGGACACAAACGTTACTCCGACATATTCTGGTTGAATCATTGTAAAGCAGTTGTTTCTTTAACTATGAAGCCCAACCAAGGAAGGGTTCAGAGGATGATGTTCTAACCTGGAAACGCCGCATCATTCCACCTCTTCGAAGGTAAACAGATATACATGTAAGGTCATGAGACTGTAGTTGTTGTGTCAGTCTTCTTATGATACGATTACGACAAGTCAACTTCAAGGGACTCGTGACTGAAGAGGTCATTTTAAATAGACGACTGGTTTACTTATGGGATTAAGAAGACATCTGGTGTAAAGGACAGAGCAACATTCACACATATAATGAAGGCAGAACACGAGTAGAGCATGGAACGTATATTCAGCCAGAACCAAATTTCAAAAAGCACGCAAATACCTCTCTTCATCATCATCTTTTTGACATTAAGTGCTTGCGATATTTGTACCTCCTGTCCCAGATACTTGACTCCCGAATGTATTGCTGTAAATAGAGAAAACAAAACAGCTTTTAGTGTCTTTTTATAGATTTTGGTTTTTTACACTAGAGGAGTTTCAAACAGGGATTGAAAGTGTGTTGGGAAGTTTTTCATTATGCCACTGCACTGCAGGTGCTTATTTATGCCCTGTTGACAAGTGAATACTGGTTTATTAGCTTGTTTAGTTGAAGGCATTCTTTCAAATGCATCCGCAATTTGACAGTGTGTTGTGGGAAATAAGGTTGTACTTGAACTGTCCTTAGATGTCTCAACTGGTATCTCGATTCAGTGACAAGGTTTCCATTCTGCAGGACTGAACAGTATTTCTTGATTGATATGTGGTCATCTATACCACTCGACGTGAGCTCTGGCCCGCTGCTTGCTGACTTTTTAGCCTGGCGCACCTAATTTGGTGGCAAGACTGTTCTTGCTACCGCACCGACTAACAAAATAATGTAATACTTACGGCAGCTTGAAGGCGTATTTTCTTACAATGGCTTAAAGAGAGTGTGGAGACACACAATAACATCGCAACAAAGATAATCAGTTCTTGACCATCGAAAATTCCATTATCCTCCACGTGTTTCAATCCTCAAAAATAAACAAATTGACGGTGAAACGTTCGATTTTCAGTCGATTTGGTAAAATTCTTTGATCTACTACAGCATCATTCCTATTGCACTTATTTGATGTGATTTCGACAAAAAAGATACAGAGACCAACCTCTCCATCCACGTTCCATATAACTTTTTGGGGAAGTGACTTTATCCCGCCTCACTATATTGTTGTGTTAGGGCATGCATTGTGACTTATCATCTTTATTCTGAAATGTTCATCTTTCAGGGGTTATCCATTCTAAATATAGATTATTTCCTATTTTCTGATAAATCAGCTGCACCGTACCCAGTCCTTGAACTCATGTTGCCGATGTCTCCAGGTGTTTGTAGGTTTCTAGGCTCTGTACAACGTAGTATGCTCTGTCCAATCAGGTGTAGTAAGTGACTGAGGAATTCAGAAGCACTGGATGAGTAGCCAAGTTGGAGTTATACCATTCTTATGATTTTTAAGGCTTTCTGTATCTTTTGAATGATGAATGCGCTTTCATTTTTTTGACTAGGTTTTCTCTGCTTCAATTGCTCTCTGACGTGCTTTCGAAAATAAGGGTTAATAAACACCATTAGTCTTTTACAATGTTACAGGTCGTCGGTCGGTAACTTGAATAATCATATTGATAGAAAAGTCAGTTTCTAAAGGTTAAATTATTTTGTGTAATCGGGTCAGTAGGGTCCTCCAGCACACCCAGTTTGTCCTTGAGTTAGCTCATGGGTTAAAGGTAGAATCCTTGAGGGATTTCAAATATCACACGGCGTGTCATTTGTGGAAATCTACTACTCAACTTCGACAGACACAACTAAACTCTAGTCTCGGCCTATTCGCGACGAATGGCACACTTTAAAATCACACACCAGAATATTCACAAAATATTATACAGAGTTAATAAATTCGAATTAATTTTACTAAATGAAACTCCGTGTTAGTTGACTTTCGAGGGCGTAATTAAGATTACTTGAAACAGAATGAGAAAATCTGGAGGCCTCGTTGACGTCTGTTTGATGATCACAGTTAAAAGGTTGTGCCAAATTTAGGCCAAAAATCGGCCGTTTGCTCCCCTTTTAACATATATCAAGGGAGCAGTCGAAATAGCGGATTCATGATGGTTACGTCAGTTTTATCATGGGAAAACAAAGCAACTCTAGTGAAATGGATACTTCCTCATGTCGTGTTGTTTGCTGTCTGAATAACAGCAGTAAACAGCCCCCGAATAGCAGTGGGACATTTTTGTGAGAAATTTCATCTCCCGGTCATATGACGTTTAAGAAATTAAAATTAATACGTCGGCTTGTGAAATCAATTCCGGAACTCGACTAACTGCTTAGCACCCATTTAAATGAATACAATCACGGTGATTAAATTAGTAACGAATATTTCATAAAATGTCGTTGCTTATCATGCTGAATTCATTACTGACGAAGACGCGGATTTTAAGTGAACATGATTTTGTTTCGTTCATCCGAATTCACAAATACGTAAAATTGGCTTCGATAATGTAAATTATTACAGTAGCTGAATCCACCGAAAGTGTTGAAAAACAAAACCAATCTCTCTTAAAATCATAGCTATGTCCGATTTGGGAAAAGCCTGTCTGCATTAGGTATGAATTTACCGAATTTCAAGGTCCATGACAGCATCTGAGTTCCTCATTTCAGTGTTCACAAATGGCAGCACTGCAGCCACCAGTTTCCTGCAAAACTAATATTAAGTTCATAACTTACAAGCGGTACGGTAAGAGATGTGAGTTCATTAGGATTCCCTCTGGAATTTAATTGAAGCATTATAACATTTCTTCCATCAACAACTTCGACAGTTGCATATTTGGCAGTTCATATACTTGAAATCTTCTGTGCAGCTGTCAGAAATCCTTTTTAATTTTCAAATACAGTAGTGCGGTTACCGAGCCTTCTGGATATATGTATATGCATAGTCTACACGTAGACGTCTTCAGATTATTGTACGTGTTTCAGGTTTCTGGTCAGCGAAATAGTTAGTCACCTTATGACATTTTCTTTGGCAAACATAATCCGTAAATTTTACAATGTAAGGCCCTATAGCATACTTTTAATTATTATGAACACTTGTAGGACCTTTTTATAGTTATTAATTGGGAAACCTCTCTGGATTTCCATTACTGTAATAAATTCTTCATGAGTGAATGCAGAATTCCACTTAGAAATGCCCTTTTAAAAGTTGAAGGTGCTCAGAGTCTAGCACACGAGCAGCTATGTAATGCAAGATTCACTGAAGTTCACCAGCAAAGTTGTAATTCATTAGATTCATTCAAGGTCAGGCGTTATAAAATAAATGCCCACTTTGTACATGTGGAGGTTATCCAGCTTGGATTTGGGATTATGGCATAATTCGATCTCATAGGAGAAGATTTACATTCGAAGTCCGAGTTATAGACCGAGGAAAGTGTAATATTTAGTGCAAATAGGGATTTTCTAATGTACGTCATTGGAACCATTTAGCAACAGAGGCATTTATTTGTACTGTAGGTCACGCTTGTTTTTATGTAAAGTTAGTTTGCTAAGGTTTCTCGTTATTTCCTTTTCAAATTATTGCATTGGGGCCTACATAAAATAAGTGTATTAACAGTTTCGCAATCTTGTACTTGTGGATTGTTGTTAAAGATGGTTTGTTTCTGTCAGTAACATTCATATGTATACATAAACACAACTGAAGATATATTGCGTTCTTATGCTGCCTATTCTTCTTTGCATTCCACATTTCTATTTTTCTTGCGTAGAATAAAGATATCTATTTGACTCCTATTAAGATACATCTTTGTTTAATGACTCTGTTGGCGTTAAATTTCGCCTCTTTGTATCCCATGCTGTGTAGAGGGTTAATGGTTTGGGGATTTCATGGGTTCATTCATGGGGATACCGACACTTGTCAGAAATGTAATTGAGTCGTTTGTTAGATAGGAAACTCGTGGGGGGTAGGGTTTTCAGAATCTGAGGCATAACAGAGTATTATTTTCGAAGATTGAAGTAGATCCTATACTGCGCCTTAATTGCTAACACGCTAACTTTCATGAGTAAATGATTCTAGGGTTACTAATCTAAAGCAGTTAGAACGATAGAGGCGTTTCATGACTCTCAACTTTTGCAATGTTTGAATCAAGTGCTTATTCAATGGATTCTGAGCTAATATGTATATGCCATGTGAAGTGAGTTTGTAAACTTTGTATTTCGTTCTAAAGGATAAGAAATAATGTCACTTAATCAGAATATGTTCGCACATATTGCGCCTCGTAGGGTGTATTTACTGTCATATGATTGTCAGAAGTTGCATATTCGATAATAGTTGCTGTAAACAAAGTGGATTTCTCCCCCGATATATACCCTTTTCGGCATTTCTTTGAAGTCAGGTGGTGGTATTGAAAAGTCTCCTGTGAATTCCTCCATGCTAGGCTGCTGCGAATCAATTTGACTTTGCTCTTATGGCAGTACAACGCTTCCAATTGATAGAAAAGTGCTCTTCAAAACTAGTCATTGGTAAGAAGGGAATATCAATCGTTGAAATTGTGAAGCTGCACTGATTAAGATGGCTAGGATATGCGTTACGCATAGCAAGTATCCGCTCTCCTGGCAGATCGATGTTAGGTGTTGTGGGATTAGTCTGGGGATGGTCAAATCAAAACATGATGTCGATCCATGAAGTCTTTGACTGTTGGCTTCAACCGAGTAGGGAGGTATACACTGTCTCTCTTAGGTCCTCCTGACGTGGAAAGCCACTTTATTGACAGTGTTGGCGGTATGGCTCAAAAAGTTTCGCAGTGGTGCAGATGCATTTACTCTGTATTTTCTCATCCTCATGCTTCTCCATATGATTATTCTTTCTAGCGTTCATATGCGTTTACTGTAATTCGTTTGAATTATTTTTAACTACGTTGAGTGTGGCAACTTGAACTGTTGAACTTTTGTAAAAAAACTCTACATTAAATACCTATCAGCGTCAGATACTAACTGCAAGTAGTTTTTCTGCAATATACATTTATGAACAGCAATATGAACGAAATTGAAGTCTCATGTATCTTTATTTCTTGTATGCATGTTGCAGAATTCGTAATGCAATTAAATACCCAAAATCCATCTAAACTTTATGTCCTTTGAGCTTACAATATTAGTAATGACAGATTACACAGTCATATCAAAAACATGTCTGTAACTTTCTGATAAATAGTTCTGTCAAATGGTCTTTTTAGTTCAAAGACCCTAATGGCTTACTATCTGGATTTTTGTGGCATAACCTTTTAAAAATACTTTTGATAAAGCTGACTGTGTGCTTATTAAGCCTTAACCATATGTCTGCTTTAGTGGTAGCTACTGCTGTCTCTTGGAAAATACTTGAGTTATCCTGAGGCTCACACTTAAATCTCTACAGTGAAATACTGTGTTAAGTAAAATATTTTCATTAATTTCTAAACATTTTTTTCTACGTAATTTATTGTCTTAATTTTTGTTTTTAGGGTGTTGGCTTTTGTCTTCCATTCAATAACGTAGTGTTCTGTCTCGTTATAGCACTGCTAAAGGTTATATGGAGTTTTTAGATGTCAACCTGGAGGAACTTGCTTCGGCTTTTCACGAAGAAAAAAGTTTCGGAAAAAGGTGGTTTTTGTAACGCAATGTGACTTATTGTCCCTTAGATGCAGCAAAGCACCTAGCGATCTAACTGAGGCAAAAAAGTGCTGCAAAAAGTTTCCGAAATTCCAGACGTACACACTTTTTACCGGACATGGTTGCATTCATGAGGTCTGTTGTATTTAATAATATTATGGTTTCTTAGGTTGTTTATCCTGCTGGCCGTGCACTCCAAAAAATGCAGAGAGTGGAGATGCCCGCAAAAGATTATTCTTTCACGTTAGATCCATTTCAGCAACGTGCTATTCTTTGTATTGAGAACGAACAATCTGTCATGGTATCCGCTCATACTTCCGCTGGTAAAACTGCGGTTGCAGAGTAAGCGCTTAGCTGTTTTATCGTAGAATGTTCTTAGGTATGCAGTTGCTAAAAGCCTGATTCAGAAGCAGCGTGTTATTTACACAACACCTATAAAAGCCTTAAGTAATCAAAAGTTTCGTGAGTTTTCCGAGATTTTTAAGGATGTTGGCCTTATGACTGGTGACATAACTATTAACCAGGAAGCAACTGTTCTTATTATGACGACTGAAATACTGAGATCGATGCTATACAGGTAATTAACAGCTTTCATTTCATGTTTGCGAAACTGCTTTTGTTCCTTCTGGGCTTTGTAAATATATCCATTGGTGTTTAGACATATACTATAAGTTCATGTTACATACGAGAAAAACAGAATTTCATAGTCCGTAGTGTATCAGCATCTCGCGGCTTTTCCAAACTGTTCATATGAAGCAAATGGTGTCATCTTTCTGATATCAAATAATATTTTGATGGAGAAAACTCTAATGATCATATTTTAACAGGCTAGGAATTCTAAAAATGAATGATAATTATAACTAGTTGTAGTTATATTAGGTATTTAGCTTATTACTGATATCATCAGCTTCCTGTCTCCATCAGCTTCAATAAGATATATAAATATTCATGATAATTGATCAGTGGTTTTCCACTCTGTGTTACGGGTTCGGACACCTGCTGCGCTTTGGGTACCCAGGTAGTAATGTTAATCCTCATAAATGTGGCTCATTGCCAACTACCGGAAAATGTACATGTTCCATGAGTAACTTTTACTACCACTGATCAGTAGAATAAAATACATGTTTGTGCTTTTTTATGATTGTTAACAATAAGTTGTACTCGTAATGTCACTAATACCTTTTAGTCAATGATCTCTAACGGGCAAACAGGTATGACACTATATCACTGTAAACTCAACTCAATATTAGACTAAGGATTGTGAATATTTTGTGTGAAGGCCGATAATACTAACCATTCGCGCAGACTAGAATAGATGGAACGGGACTTAAATCTGAGACCCATTGGCTTAAAACCTGATGCTTAAAACAATGAGCTGCAACACAACAAATCACCGAGATAGTATTTTCATTCACATGTTGGGTTTACTGTAGTTAGGCATCTGTGCTATTAATGGTTTCGAACTTACCGAAGAACATTCAGGGAAACTGCAGCTTAAATGTCTCAGATCTACAGTAGTGAATTTCACGGGTTGGTGCCAAATTTTGGTCTGACTGTCCCCATCTCTTGATAAGCCTGATCCTACTTTAGCCTACGTTCATCTCTGCATTCCCCTTACCCAATCTCAACTAACTAATTCATTAACAGATTTACTTCTACATGCGATTATCATTCCTACGATTGCTGGTGACGATAGTGGATTCACGTATCATTATTTGCTTAAAGATCTTAAGATCAATGTGAGAAAGGCCCTTTTGTCATTTGCTAACTTGTGAAATATTGGGCTCCCTATCCAATTACATGGGTACAAATACATTACTAGATTACGATATAAAAGCAGTGCGTTAACTGGCTAGTATGTACCAATAAAAAATCCACTGACCTTATGATTAATCTACATAACGGTCAAATGTCAGGTCACGTACATCTCCTCTGGTCCTAGGAGTGATATTTATAGTAAATGACCTAGCAACCAAAGGCGATGTCCGAAGATGACGAATCTTAGAGCTGTTAGGATTCACAAGTGTAGGGTAAAAATTCACTCACTATGGCGCTGTCTGATGACCGAAATAACGCCGTGACAGCACCAGAAATGGCTCAGGTCTGCATCTGTCAGTCAACACTTGCTCGACTATCCTACTGCTTCTAACGGTCGACTTGTGAGATGAGTGCGAGTACAGGTTCCGGGCAATCTTGCAAAAGTATTTTGCACTTGGGGGTTGCATAGCCTATAAAATACTTGCTGTTACTAGTCGCCTACTGATTAGGCATGATTTGGGTAGCCTGTATGTTGTCACACGGAAGGGCAATGTGTGCACACTCTAAGTCGAAAAGTCTTTCGCTAGTGTACAGATCTACACATATCTTTCTGAGCTGTTCTCAGAACGTCATTTTTAGGAAAGTTAAAGGAAAACAGCAAGATGGAACAACTCTGTCTAACCTCACTGCAGCAGTCTAACTACTGTTAATGGGCTTCTGTTCAAGTGATTCCGCCTCCACTTTTGTGACACAAGTTAGGCTAGACACCTATGCCACAGCGTACTCAGGTGATTGCGCATGAAACGTACTTTCCAGCTGACAGAGGATGAAGCTATTCGAAACACTAAGTGAAATATTTAATACAGTGTCTAAGCCACTTGACTACTTTATCATGCAGCACACATGCGTCATGGACTTAGAACTAGGGTTTTCCAACTACCCTAGGTAAACTTTCTATATCCATTTCACTGGTGAGCGATTGGCATTCGCATACATCCTCCTACTCTCAAAGCAACTCACATAAAGTCAGAATTCACATAGTCTTACGAAAGTATTTGGAGAATGAATTTTGTAGTCTAACCACCCGTGACAATGCTGGGTTGTTTATGGGGAAATATTCGAACACCTTGTGGAGCATTCAAGGACTTTATCACTTTGCTGTTTAGTCTCTCTAGATGCTTGTGACCAACCAAACAAACTATTGTGTTTTCTATTTCTTTATATTTCAGAGGATCAGAAATCACGCGTGAAGTTGGATGGGTCATTTTTGATGAAATCCACTATATGAGAGAAAAAGAGCGCGGTGTTATCTGGGAAGAAACTATCATCTTGCTGCCGGATAGCGTTGGACTTGTTTTTCTCAGTGCAACAATCCCAAATGCCCGCGAATTTGCCGAATGGATAGTATTTTTGCATGGCAAGCCCTGTCATGTTGTTTCAACAGACTATCGTCCCGTACCACTTCAGCATTATGTTTTCCCCTGTGGCGGAGATGGTATACATTTGGTAGTTAATCAAAATGTAAGTTTTGTAAAAATTTGTAGACGGTCAATTATTTTCGTTACATAAAAATATTCACTAAGGAATTTCGACGAAACTGTATAAAAGTACAATCGACTCACAAAAGTAATTCCTAACAACACACTAGAATTAATACTTGTATTTCCTGCCACCATTTCATTTTCTTAATATCTGTTTGTGAATTGACGAGAGCCAGTTCCTCATATGAAAGGGACTAAAGGTCTGGTAGAAACTCACAGCTGAGATTGTATGGGTCCAAGTTTAATTTTTGCAGTTTTTAAGCTGGTTGGCTTCGTTGCGTCAGCATGAAAATAAAGCAAAGTACAGGGGGGAGAAAATGATAATATTAAGGACTATATAATGAATGAAAGAACCCAGGAGTAGACGATTAATTGACGTTTCAAAGTAGGACTTTGCTCATTTCAAACCACTTCACAAAGTCACATAAAATAAGTATAGGGGAATGGAATTGTTCTAAAATGGGTAGACATGTTTGATATGTAGTGAAAGCGTTTGTTCTAATTTGAAAAACGTTGCTGTACTTCCTTAGTTGCTTTCCCAGTCAGACACATCAGTGGTGAATTAGCTGACCCAATGTTTTTTGTTTAACTAGTCCCATATTAATTTATTTATTCGATATATCACACAGTGAGGCAGTATTATTTACTGGATGGTGTTTCGAACACAATTTATTGTTCATAATCATATCACTTATCAATATCAATTTGTCTAACCAGCTTTAACTATCTTCCAGGCTAATTTTACTTTAGCAGAATCCAATATGCTGTATAATTAGAACATTCCAAACAATACAGACGACAAATTGATGGCAAAGTGTTATTATATTATCAGTACATATCTATCGGTAGGGTCTTGACTGGGGGAATTTGATATTTCCTCAGAGTTCGATTCAAAAATAGCAGGAGAATTCCTGTTGACTTGAGGGAGGTTTAGATAGTATTTCTGATGATGTATGGAACAAGTGTAAAAACCAGTCAGTGAATCCAACACAACTCAGTCTCTACATGACCAACATTACTGCTTACGACTAAACGGACATAAGAAATTGATGGCAGCGAGACAGTTACGTCCCCAACTAGATCGAGACTCTGAGTCCTTATTTAAGGAAGAAATAGCGAAACGAGTATCTGAAGTTGACAGCAGGACTCCTCCTGACGTAGCCTGGCACAACATACAGTTAGCTGTAGACACAGCTGTAAAAGCTGTTAATAAGCTAAAACCAAAAGTTAGTAAGAGCCATTGGATCTCTACCGTCTCATCCGAACTGATTGACGCAAGAAGACTGATTCCGGCGAGTTCCGATTATGATGAGGAGCGAAAGCTACTCAAATGCGAAATAACAAGAAGTCTTCGTAACGACCGTGAATAGTGGTGGGCGACAAAAGCGAAAGAGATGGAAAAAGAATCGACGATTGGTAACACCAGACAAATATTTAGACTTATCAGGGAAACAGGTGGTAAAAGGCTAATGATAAGTGAAACAATCTCTGAGAAAAATGGTACTATAATTAGCTGCCAGGATAGACGACTGGAACGCTGGAAAGAACACTTTGAGGAGCAGTTTAATTGGCCTACAGCCACGCTCAACTTACCGAACATCCAACACCTCCCTGAATGGGATATAGACACAGGTCCTCCGTCCCTAACTGAGGTTACTAAGGTTGTCACTAGTCTGAAACGAGGCAAAGCAGCAGGACCCGATGGAATGACTCCAGAGGTATTTAAGTACGGTGGAGACAGTTTACTGTCTGCGTTAACTAAGGTATTAGGCAGCGTCTGGGAATCAGAGGAAGTCCCGTCGGGTTGGTGTAAGTCATTGATTATCCCCATATACAAGAAGGGAGACAAGTCTTCCTGTGATAATCACATGGGGATTAGCTTGACTAATATGGTATCTAAAGTTCTAGGCTCAATAATCATGCGTAGACTAAGTGGTGCTCGGGAGAAACAAACACGAGAGAACCAGGCAGGCTTCAGATCAGGAAGAGGGTGTATTGATCATATCTTCACCCTTCGACAGATTCTGGAACATAGGCATTCTTACCGGCGTCAAACAATCGTTATATTTCTTGACCTAAAGGCGGCATTCGATTCTGTCGACCGAGAGGTTCTCTGGCGATGCTTGGCTGTAAAGGGAATGCCGAGAAAATACATTGCACTGATTAAGGCACTCTACTCGAACTCATGCAGCCAGGTGAGGGCTTACGGCGAGTTGTCATCTGTAGTGGTGTCCATCAGGGATGCCCATTATCCCCATTTCTATCCAATTTCATCATAGATGTACTAATGGATTTAACCCTAACTCACTTCAGGGACTCAGGGATTAACTTGTTACCAGGGAATAATCTCGTCGACTTAGAATATGCAGACGATATAGTCCTTCTAGGCGAGGACGCTGACAAAATGCAGAATCTTCTGAACACCTTGAGCTGCAATCTACGAATATTTGGCATGCGATTCGCTCCCGCCAAATGTAAGATGATGTTACAGGACTGGACTACACTGACTCCTAGTTTAGAAATAGGGAGTGAAGTGGTAGAGCACGTTGACCGCTTCACTTATTTGGGAAGTACCATCACCCCCAACGGGTTGATCTCTGAAGAAATCTCAGTACGGAAACAGAGGGCTAGTTTCGCATATGCCAGTTTACGCCGTCTCTGGCGTAGACGTGATATCCGACTATCGACCAAACGGCGTGTGTACTGCTCAGCAGTCCGCTCCGTCCTCCTTTATGGCTGTGAGACCTGGCTATTGAGAGTGGAAGACATGAAAAGATTAGCTGTCTTTGATCATAGGTGTCTGCGTTCTATCTCCCGTGTGAAGTGGTATAATAGGGTGAGCAATATTGAAGTGAGGCTTCGGTTGAGTGTTAGGTAAGGAGGGGAAATCAATCGACGAGGCTGTGAAGTTACATCGACTGAGATGGTTAGGATATGTGTTTCGTACACCTAGCCTTCGCCTTCCTCGACGGACAATGTTAGCTGATATAGGGTCAGGCTGGAAAAGAGCCAGTGGTGGTCAAACTTAAACATGGCTTCATCAGTCAATGAAATCCACAACAGTTAGTTTAAGCCAGCCACGTAGGAAGATGTAGACTTCGTGGTTGGGGTCCTCGGGACGGTAGAAACCAATGGCTGGAAACAATCGGTGATATGACTCAAAATCGTTCTCAATGGCGCAGATGCATCCACTCCTTGTGACTTATGATTTCCATTGAAACTTTATTGTTCTTCGTTATTACTTTTCCTATGTCTCACACCTCTGTTTACTGTCTCTATTATGCATTTCTTCTACTTTCTTCTCTTGCTTTGTGTGCTACATGGAGGAGTGTGGCGACTTGAACTGCTGCACATCGGTGCAAAGTTCTCTGTCGAAAGCAGACAGACAGACTGCTTATGGAGTTCAAGTTGTCACACCTCGTATCTGCAGGTGAAGTAAGTGTCAGTTAGTTGGAGGCAGTCGGCAAAAAGCCATGGACCTAGGTTGCATGCCTGTTGGCAAGGAGTATCTGCAACCTTAAAAGGAGTGATTCCTTTCGAAGATTCGAACCTGCATCATACATGACTACAGTAACAGATGCTACCACTGAGCATGTATGTGGTGAGGTGGGTTTTCAACGTAGGACTCTACAAAAAATTGCAGCAGTTCAAGTTGCCACTTTCTAAACTTGCCTGATAGAATGCAGTTAGCACCAACTTTAGGGAATAAACTCATGATGTTGATAATTCCCTAGTGATCACTCATTGAAGATGATGAAAGAAAAGTGATTAAAGAAGCAGAAATTATATAATCGAATAATACAGACAGAAGAATATGAAATTGTGCTCTAGAAAGCCTACATTTTCAGCAAAGTAACCCCCACACACTTTGATCACCAATAAGTGTGTTTTAATTACTCTGGAGTGAACATTTACTAAATGTAGGGAGCAGTGCAATAAGTTAAGCTTGTATTTATTATATATATAATAGTTATAATAATTAATGTATAATTATATATTGACATGCAATATTTGTTTGATAGTATAACATTTCTTGCATCCGATTAATATACTCTTTCGTTGGGGAACTATCTTCCATCTTACTCATTTCCAGCGTGAGTTTCTGGAGTCCAACTTTAACAATGCCCTACATGTATTGCAAAATGCTGGTGGCAATGCAGTCTCCGATACGAGGTCACGTGGACGCAATAATGGCAGCACTCGTAAGTTTTCCACGTTGTCCACTGTTGCACTCATGTTTATCACAAAAGATGTGTAAGTACAGGTGCCTTCCAATTATTACGGCAATTATGATCCCTAGGCTTTGCTGTATTTTTCACTGATACCTTTTCGGTTCACCAAAACGATGTGCAGGTTTATGCAGTAATTGTCTTCTGGTTTCTTCTAAACTAATTCTACTTCTGTTGATGTAAAGGAAGATTTATGCGTAAAAGACATATGCGACAGCAGTGTACAACGTTTCCCACTGACTTATTTATTTTACTTACGACTTCTCAGAACTACTGAATTGCTCATATGCTGGGTAATGGGATATCGCCAAAGCCATTTGTAGTTCAGTCTAGCGGAAGATATCCATACTTGTGTCGCAAGCTGATTATTAACTCTGTAGTGAGGTATAGATCGTCGCAAATCTGATGGCAGGCTCTGTTTAATGCAGCTCTTTGCATATCACAACTTAATTCTAACGAGATTCAACTTCTAGTGTACCCATGTGTCCTACCACGCTCAAGCTGGGATAGAAACAGATCATACTGTCATAGGCTAACAATGGTGTGGAGCGTCGCTTCTCTGACAATAGTCTGGATCCCGATCATGCTTTATTAAAAAATTTGGTTCCTCTTGAGATTTGGTATTAATCATAAAAGGCGTCCTAAAAACGTTTGGTGTTAAGAAATTAGCTGCACCAATTGCGACCAGATATCAAACTGAGCTAGATTCAAGCAGCGTTACTGATTCTGCACAGAGAACATACGAGCACTGGTTGCCAGGACGATAAGTAAAGTGGCTTGCAGCATAAGAATATCAGTGGAAAAGTAGTCTGACGTTCATATCACTACGATAGTGCTATCTCAGAATGTTGGTTGACGATAATGGTTACCAGCTAATCAATCCAATCTGTAGTATGCTAATTTTTACTTATTCTATTGGTCAAATTATTAAATCGAAATCTAAATACTAGTAACTATTTGCAGAATAAATTGTTAGTCGTGCTTCAGGTAACACTGGAATTCTTGAGGCATTGAAATATATATAACGTTGGTAAAAGTAAATGTTTACTCCGCACATAAATTGTATTTTTCATAAGTATATTAAACTTCATCCACTAAATATTGGAAATAATTATTGGCTTTGTTCGTAAAATATTAAGACTAGTGATATCATTTCTTTTGGGGCTCGTCATCGTCTCGAAAGTGTCCTGAATTTGCGTCTTTTGATAAAGTAGGTGCTGTTTTGTGTAACACAGTGTTTCCTGTTTTGGTTTCGATGCGTACTTTTCCAACTGAACAGGTGATTTTATAAAAAAAGACATGTAAGTGCAACATATACCAACATAAAAGTGTTTGCTAGCACATCATTTCAATTTAACTTATTGAGTTAGTTTTAAAAAGTAATCAGTTGTCCTACTTGTACTCTTGTATTTTCACTAGCCATCAACTTTGAATCGCTTTAGATAGAGTTTCTGTTCTAAATCGGTTTGCACATGTAAATCCTTTATATTCTATTCGTCTGTCGACGGTGAATAATAAAAAGTTACTTTTTATTTTTAATCAAATTAGGCGTTGAACCACATTGCTTAAAGTTAGTTAAATTAGTAATGGATCAAAATTTGGAGCCGCTTATTGTGTTTTCGTTCAGTAAAATGGATTGTGAATATTATGCTATGCAGCTAAACAAAATGAATTTTAGTACTGGTGAGCATTTTATTCTCATAACTTTTCATGACATTAAAATGTAATGAAAAACATGGTAGAATTTTTCGATAATCTCTTAACTTTCTGTAGAGTTATAGATGTATTTATAAGTTTTTCTATCAAAAAAAGTTAGAGTATATATAACGTTATTTTTGTAGAAATTTTGGACGGTGCTGAAGCAAGTAATGCCGTAAACTTACGAAAATAATTAAAATTAAAAGTATCGTAGGTATGTCCGAATGGGAGGTTGTATCTTGATTTCAAACCCCTTGTCTCTTCATATTTGAATTATGAGTAGTTTTCAAAACCAACACTTTTAGTCACTCAGCATCAACAACAAAATTCGGATTTTCAATACAAACGTCAAGTCAGTCAGTTCATCTATACGGATGGATCAGAAACTTGGCGGGTCACAAAGAATATTTCCAACAGCCTGTTGCAGACCTTTATCAACAACTGTCTTTGCTCTATACTGAAGATCAGATGGCCGGAAAGAATCACCAACAAGAAACTATGGGAACAAACAAAACAAGAACCAATCGCCCAACAAATATGCAGGAGAAAGTGGAGATGGATTGGACACTCTCTGAGGAGGCCGTTGGGTGACATCGCGCGTCAGGCCAGTGCTCGAGTGGAACCCGAAAGGTAAGCGGCGAGTGGGACGTCAGTGCAAGGGTGACATGGAGGAGATAGTGTGAAGAGGAATTGAAACAATATGGATTAACATGGATGCAAGTGGAAAGTATAGCAGAAGACAGAAACAAGTGGAGGCGTGCAGTTGAAGCCCTATGTTCCACTAGGAACCCAAGGGAACAATAATAATATAATAATAACACTTTTAGTCTATCATTGTTTATTGTAAACAGTTTTTCAAATGAGGCGTTGGTGTCACTTTTCAGCCTCTAAGGTATCTACAAATTATGGACATAATCTGATATACGTTGCTAACTAACTACATCTAGTTTACTCATGGTAATTTAGTGTTTTCGTTTCTCTAGGAAAGGAGTGAAGATTTAATATCTATTATCTTTTAAGTGTAAATATACATATTAAGTTTTAGAGTTCGCCATGGAGCTGTATTTCATTCTTATAAGCTGTGACGTTTCAACCACCTAAAAATCTTTGCAATCCATTCTAGTTAGGTAAAATTGTCTCTCTTGCAAACATAGCTACCTTCAAATTTCCTGTCATTGCACTGGCTTGTGTACTTATTTATTGGTTATTCTAATTATGTTTTGCTCCGCTCCAGTTGATTTTTTTTTACTTGAAATTTATTTCTACTGTCAATTGTCATAAAAAGACAGTTGGTGTTTGTGTTAGTTATTTATTAAATTCAACACAGGAATAATTTTTAATCATCAATGTTTTAGACTCTGAGAAGACTGCCATTGAAATAATATTTAATAATGCGATCGAGAATCTTACCGTTGAAGATAGGAAACTTCCACAGGTTCAGATTTTATTACCTGTGTTACGTCGTGGAATTGGGATACACCATGGAGGTTTATTACCGATTTTAAAAGAAATCGTTGAAGTATTGTTTGCTGAAGGTTTGATAAAAGTGAGTATATGCTTGCTTTTAAATTGTAACTCTCTTGTTGATCCATCATTGTTTTTATTGTATCCTGAATAATACTAAAACGAATTACTGCGTAGTCATTAGTAGTTACCTAAGGGAGAATACTGTTAAGAAGACAAGACTGAGGAGGCTGAAAGGAATGTTTATTTGGTGAAACGTATGGTACATAGCTAAATTTGGTATACCATATTCTCAACCGGCCATTTGCACATCATTCACCAAATCCTTGACGAATTGGTCGAATATCGTCTCATTCGATAGCTTCGTGGATTCTGCATATGGCAACATTCTTCTCATGGTTCTCTTCTTTGATTGCTCTTTCCAGTGTGCCGAACATATTGTTACTTCGTTTCTGATATACTACTTATATCGGATTATAAGTAGCACTCACCACAATACGACTCAGTGATTTACTTTGTCTATGTTAACTGAGATATATACACCGACCGCAAAAGGCCAATACAACTACGAAACTTCCCAGGTGGAATTCGGTGAAGCATGTTTAAACCTGTGATGCAAACACCCTTAAAAATGTACTTTTGTATAGTATGTGTTTGGCAACATACACGGTTGAGTATTTTGTGTGCTGACTGATAATCGTAGATGTGATTTTTTTCTCGTAAAATTATAGCACTACTTTGGAAATACGATTGGCATTCCACGATTTGTCATTCATATCAAAGCATACGGAAATAAACTGAATTTTTAACTTGGAACTGTGTGTGTATGAAGGTTCAGATGTTCAGGACACTACTGTTCATAAAAACACACATAAAGGTAGAAAACATGAAATTTAGGAAAGTATAATAAATGGAAATGAACTCCATAAAGAATAATCACGTGAAGAATAATGAGGATTTAACGTGTATAGGAAGTCCCAAGGAGTGAATACATCTCCGTCATTGAGAATAATTTTGAGTAATTTCACTAACACAACGGTCTGCTGGTACTGGTTCCCATCGTCTCTATGATTCCAGCCACACAGTCTATAATTCCCTACGTGGCTCAAAACAACGGTCAAAGATTTTGGTTTTACCACCCTCACCGCCTTTATCGATGTACCTTCACAGCTTTGATTGACTTTTCTTGCATACGTAACACTACTCCTAACCTTATTCTTACTGATCATATTATAGCACTCAACACTAGTGGTAGACACTTATAGTTATAGACGGCTAGACTCATCACATCCACTTTCAGTAGCCATGTCTCACAATACTAAAGAAGAATGCAACTAACTGCTGCGCAGTACATACATCCTCATGTATGGCCGAATATCACATCTACGCCAACGATGACAAACCATGTATCTGTGTTGAAATTTCGTCAACAGTCAGTGGATTAGGACTGATACAATTTTAGATAGATAGTAGCGTCCACATATTCAACCATTCCTACTGCACCATCTTAAGCTTAACAGGGGTGAATTGCATATCAAATATGCGTCGGTGGCACAGCGGTTAGGACGCTCGCCGACAATGCACATGGTCCGGGGTTCGATCCCCGGCCGACGCACACCTTTACCTCGCTAAGCCAGTAATAAAGCTGGTAAAGAGGAAAGGTTGGGCATGAGGCTAGCAACCCCATCCTGTAAAAATAAACACTGCTACAGAAACTTCAAGCCTCTAGCTTGAAGCCCTATATTCCACTGGGAACGTGAAGGAATAAAAAAAGGAATCTCATATCAGAAATAATAAGATTTCTGCTTACGATGCTCAGGAGATTTCGCATTTTACCAGTGTCTTTACGAAGAAGAATCATATCGTTTGCATATGTTAGGTAAACAGGGGTCGTCTGTGATAACACGGTTTCATGTCACAATTACTTGCGTTATTATTGTTTAAGAAATTTGTTTTACGAAAGAAAGGGAATAAACTTTTGTGCATGAATGGGACAGATTTTTCCTGTTAGCAGGCTACAAACCACACTCATTGTGTAAGAGCTGATGATACTAACCAATATCCTGAACTGAAGGATTCGTACACAAGACTCACTACCTGAGGGTGCAGGGCTTTAGCTAATAAGTTACATCTTTACGGAAGTTCAGATTGCCTCTAGTAGATAAGGAAGTCATGTTATACAAATCTGTCTCAACTTTTACGATTGTTTTCTCTGGAAAAGTGCCGTTCATAAAGTCACTTTGTTTCCACAGATTTACATTTGATGTATGCATTTCTTATCTTATTCGTGAATGAGGCAAGAGATAGCCAACATAAATTTTCGTTTTTGTTCACTGACAGAATAGTTACAATTTTATAACGATCGATATTTCTGGTTCAATTCATGACTGTGTACAATATTTTGATACACTAACTTTAAAGACAAAATTTAGTGTAATTACCTGGTGTTTTTTTTGTTCATCGAGATCTCTTGGACATTAATAATGACAAAATGGAGTGATAACTGAATTTGAAACAAGAACTTATTTCACAGCAGGGATCTAGTTATTAATAGTGTACTAGTATGGACTTTTTTTTTGTCTTGTCATATAGGTACTTTATGCTACTGAAACTTTTGCAATGGGACTCAATATGCCAGCTCGTACTGTATTGTTCACATCAACTCGTAAGTTCGATGGCCATGAGTTTCGCTTGATTTCGTCTGGAGAGTACATTCAAATGTCTGGACGCGCAGGTCGTCGTGGGAAAGATACACGTGGAACTGTGATAATGATGTTAGATGATCGTATCAGTTCAGATGAAGCTAGAAAAATTCTGCTTGGTGAACCAGATCGACTAGACTCAGCATTCTACTTAACCAACAATATGATACTTAACTTACTACGTGTTGAAGATATTAATCCTGAAGTTATGTTAAAAAAAAATTTTCATCAGTTTCAATGTAGATCGGAATTACCTGTTCTTGAAAAGCGTAAGTTCTTACTCCATTTTATTGTTATTATTATTATTATTATTATTATTATTATTATTATTATTATTATCATTGTGACACTTATAAAGCATGAACTTACGTTTTTGACTCAAAGAAGTGTACTCATTTTATTATGAAAAATTTTGTATCTCCCAATCAATGAAAAACAAAACGACAATGATTTTACAGATTTTTCGGCATTCAATGCTGACAGTTTTATCAAACTATTGGGATTATACAGCAGTTCGCTCCGTCCTTCTCTATGGCGGTGAGACGTGGCCATTGAGAGCGGAAGACATGAAGAGATTGTCTGTTTTTGACCACAGATGTTCACGATCTCTTTTTCGCGTTAGGTGGTATAACAAGGTAAGTAATGTTGACGTTAGGCGTAGAGTGTTGGGCAAAGAGGGAAAATCAATCGAAGAGGCTATAAAGTTACATAGATTGAGATGGCTAGGTAACGTGCTGCGCATGCCTAGCCATCGGCTCCCCCGACGGGCATTACTAGCTGATATAGGTGCAGGTTGGAAAAGACTGAGTGGTGGCCAAACAAAAACATGGCATCAATCCATGAAATCCTTGACAGTTAAACTGAGTCAGGTAGGGAGATGCAGACTTCCGGGTTGGGGCCTTCGGGACTCTAACAATCAATGGCTGGAGACACTAGGTGACATGGCTCAAAATCGTTGTCAATGGCGCAGATGTATTCAGTCTCTTTAACCTTCATACTCCTTTCTACCATTACTCATTCTGTTTCACTGTTATACTTGTCAAAACTCTATTGATTCTCTTCACTCATTTTCTTGTCTACCTCTGTGTGCTTTTTGGAACGTGGCAACTCGAACTGCTGCACTTCGGTGCCAAGTTCTATGTTGAATCCATCCAGCCAGCCAGCATTATACAGCGAAATGTTAGTAAAATCACTATCTTTTTTCATTCATTGGGAAATAAAATTTTTTTATAGTGAGTGATTGAATATCATATACCCAATGCTCAAATTTCCTCAAATTATCAAAGAAATGTGCGTCCATTTGCCCGGTTACTTACAATTCTTGACCAACTGTTTAAAACGTCCTCTCGTCACTTGCCTTCGTTTTTATTCGCTAGATTTTCTTACCTAGTTGTACAGTATAACCATTTGTTGTCGTGAGCTTTACATAACTTTGCTGTGACATTTAGTGATCTGTTTTCCAACGGAATGAATTATCGTACAATACTGCTAAATCAACTGGCAAAAGTTGATACGGGTTACTTTATTATTTCTAAATGGAAATCATTTATTTTTAATAATCTATATCATTTATGAAGGAATTTTTCTGCGAAAACCACTCCATGTGACTTTGTTTCATCAGTACATGATGGTGTAAAAGTAATTGGCGGAGGTGTTTTTCACCAAAGTGAGAGGGCGAAAGCGGATGCCCGGCGTTCTTCACCGGGTTGACTGTCCATTGGATGACAGTCTAGGGGAGATGGCTAAACCCTGATTCCAAACCTCCAACGACTGGCGTATGAAGCTCACTGGAGCTCACCGGTAGACGTATGGACAAAGGGCTTGTTGGATGTCCTGGATGTCTGGCCCCATTCAAAAAGGCGTATGAACCGAACTCCGGTCACCGGCTGCCAATGGATAGTGGACTCCCTACTCCACTCCTACTACCTTGTAGGTCACACTTGGTTGTGTAAAGGCTAGAGCTGCACTCTCAAACAAAAGGCCGAGCGATTCTGGGGACATCACTCGTACCAAATTCCCATGAAACTTCATGAACTCTCTTACAAACGACTTTCGCCATGCTACGGCGTTGCCGGTAAGCGAAGGGCCCTGTGCTCACCCGGTGGCCAGTGTTCTTGGCGATGTCGCAGGGGTGGACAGCTGAAGACATGGCTTGGTACAGTCAAGGCTGATATGGAGTGCCTGGGGTTACAAACCGTCTACGGACTCCGTCTGTGGAACAAGAATTGGATAACCCTGTCGCAAAACCTTGCACCAGATCGCCGCGCCTGGGCAGCGATGATTCGAGATGTTCATGAAGCCAGCTCATCCTCCCGTAGGAGATAGCCGAAGTAAAGTAAAGTAAGTAAGTAATTGGAATACTCATTTCGGTCTCGGAGTTATTTCGAAAAGAACTTGCGCGTTTACTAATTGCTAGATTTTTGAATTTAGCGATTCTCCCATCTTTGGCTTAATTGAGCTTCTTTCTAATTATTCATCTATTAATAAACGCATTTTATATATATATATATAAGCCTGAAAATGTTTTACGAAAACTTTCGTTCTAATAAGATATATATTAGTAACACGTTAAGATAACTAATCACTTTTATTAGATTTGTAGAAACATTTCATTTCATTATGATGTTATATTTTTCATTTCTGGAGGACTGATCGCAATTAAATGAAATATTTAAGAATTGTTTTATAACTCTTTTTATTAAATGCACGCATTTAAAGGTAATCAATAGTATAAAATGGTTAAGTGTTCCTCTTCAAAGTTTGTTCTCAAATTTTGAATTTTGTAGAACGAAATACGCGTATGGTTTATGCGGAATATATATATTGAACTAGCATTTTGGACGTTTTCAAAATGAATTATGCATATATGAGTTTTTGAATGTTCAGTTGATTGAATATATATCTACATTACATCTGTTCTTTTAGGTCTCGAGGATCTCGAAAATCTTAACGACAAAATATGTTTTCCAAAGGATGTGGATGTCGATCAACTACATGCATATATCAAACTCCAACGGGCTGTTTCTGCGTGTGAATCTGAGCAGTGGTCATTAGTTTCACAAAGAAAGTGTATTATACCTTTTCTTCAACCTGGTAGAGTGGTTCGAGTATGTTGAGTATTCATAATGTCTTTCCCATGTTTGTAGAAGTTACTTCCGTTTGATATCACCGGTAGAGATAATGTAGAGAACTACTGAAAAAAAATTATCTAAAGACCAGTGGATCAAACCGAATTTTTCGCACTGCTAGGTTATTCACGTTGATACTTCATATTTGCACATCAAAAAGTAGGTATTAATAACCACTCAAGCAAGTTCGTAGATTCTTTTGAGACACAGGAAGCAACGTTTAGTGGATAATGTAGCATGTTTCAATTAAGACGATCATATGGCGTAGGTGTGACTAGGGTTGACAATGTGTCACATCAACTGTGATCTCAAACTCTAGATTCGTATTGTTATTTTGGCTGTTACCTGCACTCCTCAGACTACTGTTGACTACTTACTTGATTAATGATACGTACATCTTCCTTTATGTATAATTTTTTTCAGTCTAACAGCATGGTAATGTCTGCACTCCGTAGTGCAGTTGCTAAATTACTTCTCGGTCAACGCTATTGAAGGCCTTTTCAGGGTCAATGAAATTGAGGTAGAGATGTGACTACCGTTCTATGCTCTGCTCGATGGTGATTCATCGAGTTGGAAGGTAATCCGCACATGATTTTCTTCTTCTAGATCCAGCTTGTAACACCTTCCAGTATATATTTGGTATTCAAAACTGCTTTTGTCGGATGATTAGTGTTCACTGGCAGTTCTGCGGCTGCTGGTGGCATTTCTGAAGGAGTTGCGGGTGGTGGTCGGCTCGAGAGTCCTTTAAATTGACTAATCCATTGTTTCCTTTACTTTTCCTCTTTGGTAATTAGGTTCCCTTCGCTATCTTCCATTAGTTTCCTCTGTGTTGATCTCTTTCCCGAAAGTGACGTTGTTATTTGATATTATATTCTGACGATTCTCTTACCTGTGACCAGTGTACCGTCGTATTGTCTTTTGTTCATCCTAGCAGTTTTCTTCACTTCTTTATTCAGGGAGTTGTACATTGAGCTCAGCTTCTCATTCCGTTGTCTATCTTTGCATCGGTTAATCTTCTGTCTCATCATTCCTCCCTTATCTATCAGCTCTGACGTGTCCATAGAAAGCCGTTTCCTGTCATTTCTCTTCTTCCTCCTGAAACGGCTATATAGATTTCCACCAACAATACTTTCAGAGGGTTCCAGTGTTCTTGCTTACGGGTTTTCACGGTGGTGCTATATCGTGCCTGCGACTTTGCTCTAATGGCTGTAGTGAAGGCGTCTTTTGTAGTTTCGTCCTCCAGTCTGTGAGTGTTGGACTTGACTGTGGCTTGTCTCCAGCTGCTTTATAGGCTGTCATCCTAACTTTGAAAGTCCTTTCATTAGATAACACTGTATCACTGCGTGTTGTCATGTAAATGTTTCTTATATCGAAATAAAGTGTTTGCCTTTTTGTTCCAGGAAAGAAGTTTATGATACCTGGTGTAGTACGCGGCGTAGTGAGAATATCTTAAGAATAATCAAAAATCGTTATCTACGAAAACACTGAAATTATTTGATCCTACATATCGTCACATCAAATCGTGCATTCTGTGAATATGTATGATGTCGAGAACCGTTCACAATTTTGTTGAAGTCTTTCAGTAGGAATAAACTAATATCTAGAGGCTACCTGATGACGTGTTTGCTGTTAAATGGTTGCATCATGTTATTTTAGTTCATTGAAGATATCATTAAAAATTTCAAAGTCTGATTAATTTACAAAGGATATTCTTTTTGATAAATTCTTCATCAGGTTCTACATTTTTATCATAGTAGTAATTAAAGAAGTAGATATTAACGACATCAATGTTTCAAATTACATTGAATCAATGTTATCGACAGATTATATTTCAAAGGCATCAGTAAGAGATTGGTAAGCTCTCGCTCCATCCTCAAGATCAAATAGCCAGAAAGAATTAGTAACAACAAACTGTGGGAACAAACCAACCAAGAGCCGATTCCTCAACAAATATATAGGATAAAATGGAGATGGATAGGGCACTGAGGAAACTGTCGAATGACATCGCACGCCAGTCCCTCGAGTGCAATCCGAATGGGAAGTGACGAGTGGGTACCCTAGGGGGGTAATATGGAGGAGATCGTGTGAAGAGATGAGAGATTATGAACAATCGTGGACGCAGCTGAAGACGACGGCAGAGAACAGAACGAAATGGAGATGTGTTGTTGAAGCCTTATGATATTCACCTAAGTAATTCGAATATGTTGTTTATCGCATTTTCCATCAAGCACTTTTAAATCCGTCTTTCCATTTTTCTACTTATAAGCAGTATAATTCCCATGAGCTTTGAAATATACTTCTAATTATATAGTTTTAGTTGGTCTTTCATACATTTTATAAAGTCTAACATAATGCTTTTGATGCCTGTTACTCTAAATTTTTGTTAGGTCAAAAGTCCTGACAATGTTGATTTCGGGTGGGCAATTGTTATACACATTGATCGTTCCCATTATGCAAATGGAAGCTCTGAACGTGATAACGGGATTTCAGTTACTTGTCTTATGGAAGTTGCTGAGAATCATATTTTACACAATTCAGATTTCACCAAAAAGCCAGTACCTCTTTCACTTATGAAACCATTCAGTGATAGCGATTTCCAAATTCATCCCAGTGCTGAAACATCGGTCATTCAAATGGTGTCTGTGCCATTTGTTTGTTTGTCTTCTATTTCGAGTGTTTGTCTTAATTTAAGTGCACTATTCGAATGTGACTACAAAAATACTCAGATGTTACGCAACAAATTGTTTCTTCAATCAGAACATGTTAAACGAAAAATTTGGGATGGCGTTAGTCGTGCTGAAGAGAAATTGGGCGGGAGGTTACCTACACTCGATCCTATTAAGGATTTAAATATTATGGATGACCGTATTAAACAACAATCTGAAGTAAGTATCCAGTTTTTTTTCATTTGGCAATCGGACTTGGAATTTCATGACATTCATATTTGTAGTAATTGACAGTCTTGATATGTGTTATAAGTATTTTCTTAACAGTTACTGTTCAGTTTACCATTGATTGGCTTCAGGATTGAATTCGGAAAGTCGAAATCATCGTGTCACAGCCGCTAAAATATATGTTTCACAATAATAATATGTGAATGCCAGTATTGAAGTCTTAGGCACTAAGTCGCTGTTTACCAACATTCAGAAAAGTATAATTTTCATTTTTACCCAGATTAATATTTGGCTTTTTGTACAATAGACGATTGCTTTACTGAAGGCGCGAATGGAAATGAATACAGTGTCTACACGTACTGACCTTAAATATCTTATTGATCAATTCAATCGGAGAGCTACCGTGAGTGCTTTACATTGCTGTTTTATTTCTCATGTTAACTTTTATTGTTGTTTATACCGTCCTAAGTAGGATGTTTTTCATTCATGAGGTCGTCAGGTGGGATATTTCTGACATATTCCCAACATTTGTCAATGTAATTTTTTACAATTTCGTTGTTCTTTTTACAAATATTTTACTTCAGCATTATTTATTCTGTGGGTTTTTGCTGGAAACTGGCTAAAATTTCCTTTAGTTAGCTTTCAAAATTTACAATACTTTCGCATGTTTGTTCAGCTTTTTGAAAAAATTTTTGTTGAAATCTTACCTTTAACTGAAGTTCCGGTGGAATTTGACCTATGGATAACCATTGTCAAAAGAGATTCCATCTCACAAGCCAATAAAATTGGAATTGTTAGGCGTGTCCTATATCTTTTCCTTTAGCTACTGAGGAATTCTTTGATTTTCAACTCCTCGAATGTGTTTCCGATGAAATAATCGGAGTTACACACTAACATTAGCGATTTTTTTTCTTCTACAAACTGATGTCCAGATGATTTCATGAATTACATTCAACTATTAATTTTCGCTTTAGGAAATTAGACTCTGATTCTCTTGTGCGTAGGTTTAGTGAAATAATCAAACTTCACTGTTCCAAACAGTAACGAAATTTCTGGTTATCATATTCTGAATAATTTTCTGTAGTTTGGTTTGTAAGGATTAGTTATGTTTTACGAGTTGATCACGGACTGATATCATTTAGAGAACCATTGAAAACCAGGGAGTACTGGACAGCTGCTGTTTCATCCTAGTTTGGGAATCATCGGCAGTACGCACCCACTGGGATTCGAACCCAGGACCTTCCGGTTACAAGGCAAGCTCGTATACCATTCAGCCACTGGGACCCGATTCAATGGCTCGCTAGTGACTTGCTACAGGTTGGAGCTTCCTGGAGTTCTAGTGAGAAGTCGTGACCAGTGAGATCCAATCAGAAGTCACGTGTGTGGATTGATGTCCCACCAACAACAATAGTTGGGGTCGCGCTAAAATCACGTATTTTATTCTGAGTTAATTTTTGAGACAGTAGAGAGTTGGGATGAAATAAAGTTTTCAGATCAAAATAACACCCTTCCTAAAGGGTAGAGGAAACTTTCCTCTTACCACACACACAGTAATCCAAATTGCTTCATGTATTACTCGTGCTGTTGGATTTCTCAAATAAATTATCCATGATCCTCTTGAATTAGTTTTAGCTCACTTGATCATGCTTTCGACTCCAATTGTGCTATATTTTGGCCTCTGAACGAAAAACAAATTACTCAATTAATACCAACAAAATTTTCTGCTCCAAGATAATGCAATCTAAACACGAATGGTAATAGGTTGTTTCATATCAGTACGAAATTCGAGTAGTCTATTGATGGAATAACATTTTTAATACATATGTATACTGACCACTGATCAACTTTTACCAGTCCGTTTTGCAGTGTGAGGGAATCATTAATTCCATTATACGATATAAAATATTTTGTATACTAGTCAATGGAATTATATCCGTTATGGATTTCTTCATAAACAAACCCCACTAATAGTCACATTGTAGGCTGTATGGCGTAGATTTTCTATGTATGGTGCAATATTTTTTATGGAAGTAGCGAAAACAGGACTTCAAGTGACCATGGAGAAAAGACAGAGGTGATGAAGTTACCCTAATCAGCAACAACAAGTACTGATCATTATCAGTGGGGGTAATTTGAATGAGGTCACTTTCTTCACTTATCTAGGCAGCATCGTTTCAAATTCAGGCGGAACGAATGAAAATTTCACAGCCCCGATTGGAAAGGCAAGACAGATTATCAATAACCTGATATCAGTTTGGAAATCGTCTGTACTCAGCATAAAGAACAACATTAGGATTTTCAACACTAATGTTCAGTCAGTCAGTCTTGGAGAGTCACGAAGAGCATTTCTAACAAGCTGAAGACTTTTATTAACAGCTGCTTTGTCTTCGTACTCAGGATCAGATGGTCAGAAAGAATAAGCAACAGGGAACTCCGGGAACGAACTAATCAAGAACTTTTTTCCCAACAAAAGTGCTGAAGGAAATGTAGATGGATTGAACACATGATCAGAAGACCGTTGAGTGACATCGCGCACGAGACCCTCGAATTGTGAACGATGAGTTGGCCGTGGGTGACATGAATGATAATTACTCGAAACGTAAGGGGACAATAAAAATAATGTTGGATTCTTATTTGTATTTTTTATTGTGAATTATTTCACATCCACGTAATTCCATTGGCTGTTAGGTTGCTAAAATAAAGAAATGTAGTGTGGTGAGAGCTGTCTACTAGCCAAATTGGTAGACAGTAATTTACGTCAATGTTTACGTTCTCAAGATTTGTCGTGAGAAAATATGAACAAAGACTGATTCAAAACCGACCACAGCAGACTTTGCGTAGGCGGATACAGTTAACATATAGATGATCTGACATTCAAGAAGCAGTCACAAAGAGATGAAAGATTAACTTTCTGTGAGAAGCAACCAATCAGAAGACTGTATTAGTTTGATTAACTAATCTATAATAATGTACATGAAAATGTATAAATATGCTTTGATTTCCTTAAAAAAGGATCTGTTGCCTGACCCTTGTCTTCTGTTGTTACAGTAGTACTAGATCAATACATCATTTTATCTTCCCAAATGCTTTTCAAGTATTGTTTGTACAACGTTGTGATGAAATAAGTTGTATCTTTATTTCTGTATCACTTTTTCACTTGCGTTGTTTTTGGCATTGCATATCGGAACTCCAAACCTTTTTTCATTTACAGAATTTAATGAAGATAGAACGTATTCGTGAACGCATGAATAAAGCAGATTCCCTTTCTTTACATGGGGAATTGCTTGCGAGGAAAAGACTTCTACGAAGACTGCATTTTTGTTCAGAGGATGATACAATCGCACTAAAAGGTCGTGTTGCCTGTGAAATATCTAGCGGTGATGAGCTCATGCTAACTGAACTGTTACTGGATGGATTCTTCAACAAATTCTCTGCAGCACAATTAGCGGGTGTCATGTCTTGCTTTGTTTCAGAAAAACAAACTAAGCAAAATCAGTTAAATTTAACCCCTGTAATGGAAAAGGCATTGAGAAGTATTCATGTAAGTTTGTTATTTCAGCTGTACATATGTGTTAGTGTTTGTATTGATGTTCGTGCGATGCATCGAGAAGTACGATATGTCCATTTCGCTCTCCCAGGGTTTCCTAAATAGTTAAGCTGGGAGGAAGGCTACTTTAAAGTTCATCGATCAACACCATCTGACCTTTGAAAAATAATGTGTAAATATGGGTATAAAATGTTCGAGTTACCTATTCCTATATAAATGTTTTTCTTTCCACTGCATTTAAACGGCAACTGAGTCGTTCTGAAGTTCGCAAAACTCTCACTGATTTCGTTTTTTGTTTTAAATTACTAAGGAGAAAGCAAGATACATCGCAAGAATTTCCTCTGAGTGTAAGATTGTTCGTCATTGTTCTCCGGATGACAACGAAGATAAGTCAAGCATCGATGGCCACCCAGATCGCTGCTCGAGTCTTCAAGGTGATGAATCTACTTACGTAAATCACTTTGTTGGTGACTTAATGGAAGTTGTTTGCGCTTGGGCTGAAGGTGTCACTTTTTCTCGTCTTTGCGAATTAACAAATGCATTTGAAGGAAGTATAATAAGGTGCATTCGAAGACTGGAGGAACTTCTGAATCAAATGCATAATGCAGCAAAAGTGGCAGGAAACACGGAATTGGAAAATAAATTTCTGGAAAGTATGTCTCTTTAATAATCTGTGTTAATGATTCACGTTTTTGAACCACTATATATATATTTGTAAAAAATTATATTTGTAAAATCTCACTCGGCGCCCAAATATTTTAGAACTATTCTGTCAAATCTTGACGACAGTTCATTTGAATTATTTTGCAATCGAATTAAATTAACAAAGAAACTGTGTAATTGGAACAATCATCGTGTTTTCACTCTCCGTTGTCTGCAACAGAATGCATATCCTAAATCCGTAGCTGTCGAGTCACCTGACAACTCCAGTAGGTCGAATAAAGCAGCTCAATCTTCAGAAAGAAGACAAAGCACTAAGTCCAACAGGGTGCTTCTACTAAACTCTAATCCTAAACACCATTATTTTGAAAGTACTTCTAATCATAAAATTCTAGATACTAACAGTTTGGACAGACATGAAGGCGTGATGTTAGCTGATGCATAGGAAATCCTTATTAATAAATAAAAAATGGATATGTATCACTAATTATTAATACTTAGTCAAAATTCTCGACTGTCCATATCTTCTTATGGAGACGTTAAGAAATGTTTTACAACTTTACCCACACACACATAACACTCTGTCTAAAGTGTTTAAGAAAGGTAGACCAATATTTGTAAGTCCGGGGTCAAATTTTGATCACAGCTCATAAAATTTTGTTTATTATACTTGTTGAATGACTCATGATTGGACAAAGTTTTTAAAAACAAGTGATGTTCCTTTTATACATAAACTTCTGTTATGTTAATTTCGATTAATTTCCCTGAAGAAGTTCGGACCAGATTGCCGAACGAAATGTTGGAATTACTCATTTCAATCTCGCTGAGATTTTACAAATATAAATTTTTACAAATGTCTACTTCTCACTCGGCGCCCAAATATTTTAGAACTATTCTGTCAAATCTTGACGACAGTTCATTTGCACTATATATATATATATATATATATATATATATATATATATATATATATAAGGAATGTTGGGAAAACAGCAGTTTTCCTAATGCTACCGCAACTGATAAGTGCAAAATGTTCTGCAACAGTTTAGTTATGAAAGCTGTTGAAAATAAAAATATGTACCCCGGAAAAACATTACACATTTCAGAAAATATAATCATAACATATGTAGACGAAATTTAAGGTTCGAATGAAATACATGAACATCGTCTGCATTTAACAAGTTTTCGTCTTCTCTACCAAAATTAATTTTTGTAAACATCATCTTTTTAATTTTTTTTATTTTAAAATTTCAGCTGCCGTTTTAATCAAAAGAGACATAATTTTCTCCGCGAGCCTGTATCTTTGACAAATGTTATAAATATTTTAATTACCAGATGTTCTAAGTGTTTTTGTTATAACTTGGAAACCTAATGGAATTTGGGTTCGATCACATTACTACTTGGACACAACATTATGTGCATCTGCACACTGGATTATTATTCTTAAACTCAGGAGGTGAATGATTATTGATCAATGCATAGGGCAAAATTACTAGGTATCACCCAAATATTTTGCATAACGTTTTTCATAACCAATAAAATGCTAATTTAGTATATAGTATAGCAAAAATAAACATTGAGACACTTAGGAGTCGAAAAAAGGTTTCAGCGGAAAAATATACTTTCCCGTAACTTCCTGAAGTATTGATCATTTTATGAAAATAATATCAAGTTGAGTAAATAGGCACATGTTCTAGGAGTTAAGTGTTTCGTCCTACGCAAAACCTACCCGTGCAACTAAACAACGCGAAGTGGGAACCCTCAGCAGTTCACTATTCAACCACGCGAATCAAACCGAAAAATCTTTTTCTTTCGTCCATCATGTGCGCAATAAATTGCCAATACACATAACGTAATATTGTGTGAAATTTGATAACATAGAATTTAATGTTGCAAGACAGAATTGATTTAGAATGACAAGTGGAACAAGTAAAATAATACCGGGGACAGTTCAAAGTGAGAATAGTAATAGTAACAATTGACGTAATAAAGGAAGAGCATACAAATTGAATAGACAAAATGAAAAAAATTGGTAGAGCCAAAATATGATTAGGGATTACCATACTTTAGCATAGAGGGATTAAGACCATGAAAGTTGGAGGGGTTGAACGAACTTTTTCTGTACACAGAGATCTGGCTTTTCTGTTTCGATAGCCAAAGCTTCAGCAATACAGATGAGTCGGGTACGTAGTGATTTCGGTAAATTACTTTTTGCCTTGTAGATGACTTTAAAGGCGGAGGCTATAGAGATAGGGTGATCATTATCGACCAGATGTTCAATGATCGCGCTTCTTATTGCTCCACTTCCACCTCTTCGTAACCATGCAGGATAGTGTTCTTGCACCCTCTTGGAAAAAACTCGAGTCGAACGACCGACATACCTAGCTCCACACGAGCAGGTGAATTGATAAACGCACATAGAGTTGGTCAACAGCGGGATCTTGTCCTTCAGGTTATTGAACAGTAATGGTCGACTGGTAAAGGCTATTCTCAGAGATGCAGCAGGGAATGTTCTTTTCAGGGACTGTGATATCCTTCTTTTCATGATATTGGAAGCTAAGTCACCCTTGAATTCCAAGCTCATGTACAGTATTTTCTTGGGTGCGGATGACAAGTCACGTTTCATAGGATTTGAATGTATATTCTTGTCTATAAGGCGTGGTGGAAATCCATTTTCTATTAGGATTTTCCTCGAAAGATTTAACTCATCCTCCACAGTATCAGGGCTACATATACGGCGAATGCGAGTGGCAAGCGACCGGATCAGGTTTCGTTTTCAACCAATGGGTACCCAGCTGTAGAAATTTGTCAGTTGACCATTCCATGACAGCTTTCGATAAATCGATCTCTTCAGAGTTCCATCGGTCCTCCTTGATAAGTTCACATCGAGGAAATGAATACTAGACTCGTTCTCCATTTTGAGTGTGAATTTTATCGCTGCATGGCAACCACTGAATGCATTTAACATATTATTATTCAAATTACAATCACTATTACAAATAATAAAGGTGTCATCTACATACCTTTTATACATTTGAAAGCTTTGGATTGTTGACTTCAACTGACCATTTTCTAGACTGGCCATAAAACAGTCTGCAAGGAGAGGACCGAAGGGAGAACCCATTGCAATAACATCCGTCCATCTGTATATTGTTTCATTGAAAGTAAACTGCACTTTCAGTGTACATCTCAAAAGTAGTTCTTTCAGATCTCTAGTGCGTATCCCTATATTCAATTTGTTGTCTTCAATATATTTGCATATAAAACATATGGTTTCTGTCAGTGAAATGTTCATAAAAAGGGATTCTACATCCAAAGACAACAAAGGTTTATTCGGGGCATTTGTATCCTGCATACATTCAACAAATTGGAAGGTGTCACGAAGGGAATGATTAGATAGTTGTCTCCTGACGGGTTCGAGGATTTCAGCTAAGCACCCAGCTACTGCATGATAAGGTGATCCGGACATACCCAAGATAGGGTGGAGTAGAAGGCCAACTTTGTGTATCTTCGGCAGACCATAAAGTCTTGGTATTAGAGATCCTGTTGGTCTAATCTTTTCGTACAGTTCTTCACGAATGAGATGATTGTTCTTATGCGTGCTCTATTTGACTAAATTAGCGTACACGTATTTTCTAGTACTTCTTCACGTTTATCAATGTGCGTAGACGTTGTGGCCAGTCGAGGCCCACAACTTAAAACCAGAAGGCACTTGTGAAGAGTGTAATCGTGTATTATAGCAGTAGTTAAATTTCAAAATCGTGTCAAGGTAATATTCAACAGTAGATTGACAAATGTTTACGAAGTACATTTAAAATCGGTCTGTGTAAACATATAATATAAGTATGAAAATTAGATTAAAAAGCGTATGTTTGTAGTTGGTATAGGGTTACTACCTAATTCCCTCACCAGAACACTGAAATATAAAAAATACATTTAAATGTTCGACAATACCATGCGTAATACGTAGTAGCGATATTACATAGAAAGCGATTTATTAAGCTGAAAAATGAGCAGTTTAATGCGGTTAATAAGGTCGATAATAGAAGAAAAATAGGATTGATAATCATGGTAGAATATGTATGAAATGATAAAATCAGCCGGGGATCTGTAATCTATGGACGGAAACGATACATGAATAGTAAGCGCTATATGATTAAATGTAATAATACAGGAAATATCGATGTAAACATAGTAGTGACGTGATTTACGTATGAAAATATTAATCAGTTAAATGAGTAGTCAAATGACAATCACGAATAAAGATAATGAAAATTCTTAATAAGTTATATATTGATGATTTGCACATAACGTTTAGGCCAATGAACTCTCCTACCGGAGTGTGTTGTTTTCATAGGTTTCTCTGGCGACGTTGAAGCTTGCGTGGATGTAGGTGTTGGCACGTCGTTTAGCTGGTCTTTATCGTTGGCTTCGAAATCGTCGATGAATGCTGGGTTGACTCTGTCGACACTGGTGGCTTCTGCTTTATTCAGTCGTTCTATCGTGATAACTTTATCATTTCTATTTAGAACTTTGAATGGGCCATCGTAAGCGGGTTGAAGTGGTCGTTGTACACCCTCTCTCCTGACGAAGACGTAAGTGCAATCTGTCAGTTGTGGCGGGATGTATGACTCTCGTTCCTGCTGGCGTGGAAGTGATATCTTGAGCTCGTTCATGTGTTGTTTTAGCTGGTGCACATAACCAGTCGTATCTTGTGGAACTTGGTTACCCGGGGTGAAATATTCTCCTGGTAATCGTAATGTCGTTCCATAAACTAGCTCGGAGACGCAGCAGCCAATATCTTTCTTTAGAGCAGCTCGTATACCAAGTAGTACCAGTGGAAGTTTGGTTGACCAGTCGTTTTGAGTCAAAGAAGCAGCGAGCGCAGCTTTGATTTGTCGATGAAGTCGTTCTACCATACCGTTGGAACTAGGATGGTAGGCAGTCGTCCGCATTCGTTTAATGCCCAGTAATTCAGTTAGCTGGTGAAAAAGTCGGCTTTCAAACTGTGCACCTCTGTCTGTAGTGATAATGGATGGGACACCAAAGTTAGCTATCCAGTTTTTGAACAAAGCTTTAGCTACCGTTTCAGCGGAGACGTCGGCTAATGGAACTCCTACAGGCCAACGAGTGAATCTATCGATGCAAGTTAGAATGTAGTTGAAACCATTGGAAGGAGGTAGTGGACCAACTATGTCTACATGTACATGGTCAAATCTAGAGTCGGGGTTAGGAAAGCGACCAAGTGGTGCATTAGTGTGACGGTTGATTTAGACTCTTTGACAGTACAAGCAATTTCGTGTCCACTTCTTAACATCGCTGTTAATGTTCGGCCATATAAATCTTTCTTTTTGTAGTTTGCTAGTAGCGCTGACACCGGGATGAGACAAGTTATGTAGTTTCCCGAATATAGTATGTCTCATAGCTGCTGGAACGAAGGGTCGATATTTACATGTAGAGGTGTCTCAGATTATTTTTGTCTTGCCAAAAGGAATTGCGTCTATTTTAAAAGATGTTGTTTTAGAAGACATGATCTTTTTTAGTTCGGCATCATCTCGTTGTAAGTTTGAAAGACGTTCGTAGTCGATGTCTGGGCATAAAATGTTGTCAATGTGCATACGTGATAAAGCGTCTGCCACTTCATTGTTTTTACCCTTTACGTGTCGCAGATCGTAGGTGAACTGAGGTATGAACTCGAGATGTCATAGTTCGCGCGGACAGTTTTTTTTCTTCTTTCCTTCACGTTCCCCAGTGGAACATAGGGATTCAAGCTAGAAGCTTGAAGTTTCTGTAGCAGTGTTTATTTTACAGGATGGGGTTGCTAGCCCCATGCCCAACCTTTCCTCTTCACCAGCTTTATTACTGGCTTAGAGAGGTAAAGGTGTGCGTCGGCCGGGGATCGAACCCCGGACCATGTGCATGGTTGGCGAGCGTCCTAACCGCTATGCCACCGACGCGCGGACAGTAGTTATCCTGTTTTGCTGATAAGGCTTTCGTTAGAGCTTTATGGTCTGTAAAGACAGTAAAAGTTGTACCTTCCAGCATATGTCGAAAGTGCTTGATTGCTAAATAAACAGCTAATAACTCTCTACCAAAAGTGCTATAGCGACATTGAGTAGGATTCAGTCGTTTCCAAAAGAATGCAAAGGGTTGCCATTCGCCGTGTACCTGCTGTTGTAAAACTGCCCCAATGGCAACGTCTGAAGCGTCTGTCATGAGAGACAGGGGGCGTCATTTTGGTGTCTGACTAAGAGTGTCGTGTCGTTTAACGATTGTTTAACAGTTTCGAATGCTTTAACAGCTTCTGCGGGCAAATGGAATGAACGATTATGTCCA